CGGGAACCATGCACACCTGAGGGCTAAATATGAAATCTTCCAGTTCTACGTGGACTTGAAAATCCCTTGAAAATTCCAGCCTCCCCGCTTTTCTGGTCCCCGAGTAAGCGATTTTCCCGCCAAAACATTCACACGGTCGTATGCGAGACCAAACATAAGTGACGAATGGCATCGCGGTCTTGGAGTGACACTTGGCCGGGGAAACCGCTGGCAAAATTTTGACGCCGGAGCATGCGTAGCTGCCGAGTTGAATTACCCGGACAGACGCACGCACACACGCACGCACATCACGGGTCGTCACAATATGGACTAAAACACTTTTAGTCCATTTGCAAATATGCAAAAACGCATCAACCCCCTCCCCCCTCTCAAGAAAGTTCAAAGGAAAGAAAGAAAAATTCAGAAAACGACACTCAATTGCTGATAACATTTGCATAGTCACATAGTTTGCTGAACGCTGCAAAGCATAGAAGACTTCTTTATGTCCTCTCATTGCCAATTTCTAAAATGCTTTTAGCCCAACGAAACAACAACGACGTGTTGCAATCTCCCGTAGAACAAATACTAAGGCAGTGCGCATGAATCACTGAGGAATCCTTAACAGATTAGCATACATAAATAGCAGCCTTCGGAAAACTAGTGGGCACCATCAGCAAATGTGTGAGGCACGGAGAAATTTGTTCTCCTAAGGGTTGCACATGCGCACTAGAAGTTTTGCTAAAGATGAAAACGGCTACGAAATTCGAAACAGACACCGAAGAACTTTGAATGCTTGGTTTCTGTGGATGATGCAGTGTCCATGGCACAAATCAGGTGATCACAGAAAGCGAAATTCGCTAAGACTCCTTGCCATGTGGCTTGAGCTTACAGCGAATAAGGCTGGAGATAAGTGAAGACAGACAGTGCAAACATGATACGTTCGCAGGTGTACCTCAATGATACGCGCTGAAAATATGGGTGTCCTGTCTGTATCAGTTTTACTACGCGACCGACGTGTGTCTCTTTCTGTAAGTCACAAGTGGGCAACCGGCGGCCCGCGGAGAGAATCGGAATGTGATGCCTGACTAGATGAAC